GAGATCATGATATTCAACGACCTGATGCTTAGCTGCATCACGTTTATAATCGTTAGTGTTGGACAAAACGGATAACTTGTAAACTTATGGTCCTCTCTTTTAATTTTAATCCTTGGCTCTCCATCCGAGTTCCCTCATGTTTTGCTATTATTTTTCTTATTTTTTTGCCCAGGGTCTACATTCTACATTTATTTTACTTAGACTAGGGTTAGCTGTCCGTTTACTAGTACTCATCCACACATAGTGACATATGTGCACATAGGGTCTACACAGAACTCTATCAGTAGGTATTTTTGTATAGGAGGTTGTCTATCCTCCGGGATAGCACTATATACTCCCATTCTGTGTGTTCTCTGGTAGCTATGTTCCTTGGAGACCATACGACCTTGCCAGTGTGGTGACCGAGGTCAGATGTGTCTGCACTGGCATCGTCAACTTTGCCTACTGCTACATGCTCCCCAGTGCTCCATCTGTGTCCTGTACTTTATTTGGGGGGGGGGGGGGAGGGGCAATACTGGTACTTCAGGTGTAGGGGGCAAGGGGGGGGGATGGGGTGGGGGACATCATGCCCCCAATGAACCTCTCCAGGCGTTGTTCTAGAGTAGACTAACCATAGGCGGAGTGTACACATGCAGCACATAGTATGGGAGTTACATGTAGAACGCGATTAAACTCGGGCATATATTCAAAGGCAGATGAGTCTAGTGTGATAGTAGTCCTGGACTGATCTCACTATGGTGATATAGGTCGTGCCCAGCATCACAATGCCCAACATTATAAATGACTGGTTTTTTTTCCCCTGAGGGGCTAGATGAACTTGTAGCTAGACTGCGGATGGCAACCAACTGGCTCAAGGCTGCGTTGAGACTTCGTGTGCGCGACCCGAGTCAATTGTTTACTCACCATGACTAGGCATCGCATTGAGCATCGTATGACCACTAATATCACTGACTGTTCTTAGTCGCACCGGGGGCGCATGCCCGTTTTCAGGAGACTTCTCGAAACACATAAGCCCTGTGCCCTGAAGGTTAGGCCTATTGTTAGTCCGAATAGTCCTGGCTACTATCCCGCTAAGTTCATTGACTTTCTACTGAACCCGTATGTACGTGAGGAAAGTACTGTTCTGGCCTGAACTACGGATTTCATCAACTTGGTAGAAGGTTTGCCTGTGCGGGACGATCATTTATTTTTGAGTATAGATGTGACCAGCCTTTACACCAACATCCCCAACGAGCTCGGTCACGTGGCATTGTCGTGGTATATCACACACAGGTATACAAGGTGGATGCCCCGGCCCTTCGTACACGGTTAACAACAACAGTGACTTCCTTGATGTCAGTCATTCGGAAGACTAACGAGTTCGTGTATGATAACGATTTGTTTCCGCAGATCCAAGGGACTGCCATGGGTTCGCCTGCAGCAGTGGTCTATGCCGACATTGTTATGCTGTATTTGGAGAATCGGTACATTTTCCGATCTTAGAGGGGGAGGGTTTAGAGGTTCAGGTTTATAGACGCTTTATCAGTGACATTTTTGTTTCATTGCATGGTTGCGAAGGTCAAGTTCAGCGCGCTTTAGACAGGATTAATAAGTGTTCAGCCCTCGAGTTTGCGCATGAACTGGCACATGATGGCATATATTTCCTGGACACCACAGTTTTCCGTAGTAAGGGATACATGGCGGCGAAGCCTCATTTCAAGGTCATCAATCGTTTCCTGTATCTGCTTGCCGGTAGTAACCACCCCCGTAGTATGGGTAAAGGTGTGATCACTGGGGAGTTGATCCGTATCCTCTTACCCTTGACCACCACTACGAAGCTGCTGCCGAAGCAGGCTTTCCGAGCCCGTGTATACAAGAGCTCCATCTTTCATCTTTCAGACCCGTACACCAGGCATGCAAGGCCGGCACAGCTGGGCGGCTGGGGTGGCCTCAGCCGCCCCACCTATTTGGCCGTTTTTTGTTCTTGTTTTTTTAGCACACTGCAACAAAGCGCGATGATCGCAGCTCAGCGCAAACGTGGCAAATAATGAAGAATCCTTGTCCCCGATCCCCGTCCCCGATCCCCGTCACCGATCCCCGTTCCCGATCCCCGTGGTTTGTTACAGAAAAAAGAGTCTTTCTTTGTAGTTACACTGAAATGGCACCAAATGCCCGGAAATGCTTGCAATTGGCTTCAATTTTTGACATTTTTACCGCGGAGGGCCCCCGGACCCCCTTGCATGGCCGCCCCACCTCCAAAGTCGGTGCGACGGGCCTGGCATAGATGCGCAGGGAAGGTATGTTGGTCAGACTGGCATGGGTTTGGGTTATTTCTGTAGTTATATGCAGTGTTCCTCATTGTATTTACCTGGGCCCGGCCTGCTGTCCTTCGCCCGTTGGTCTTGAGGTCCAGGTGTAATACCCCTACCATACAGTCCAGTGGCCAGCGCGGCCCGGCAAATTGTTGTTACAAGGTGGAACATCGGCAAGAGGTTGCTTGCTCGTTTGCCTCATGCCTCATGCTCAGTGTCCTCAGGGAGTTGGTATTTTGCTCCTGTTTGGATTTTGCAGTGTCTATGGTGTCCGTAATTAAGTTTTTGTTCTGTGTCCTTTTCTGTGGTGTTTGGTCATTGTTCACACATCTTTATTTGACTTGATTCCTGGTGTTGTGTATCCTTTTGTTTTATCATTGGTGTTGGTCTGGCTGTAGAGTTCTAGCATCCGTAGCTGCCTCAGGGGTGCCACTTCTCCCATCAGCGTCGACTAGTCCGCCGGTACGTGGTGCTTTATTGCGTGCAGTTGTCTGTTCCATCCTGTACGGGCTGTGTCCTGCTGATCACACAGTCTGGGTCTCCATACGTTGCATGTTCTCATTGTGTTGTGTCCTGTGTTCTGAGGTCTTTGACTTGGAGTATGCTCTGCATTGTGTGTGGCTCCTGTCAGTCTTCACTGTAGACTCTATTTTGTGGCTGAGGGGCATTGTTAAAGGGGAAGTTAAGGCAAAAATTAAAATTTCACCAGTTGTAGTCTTCGGGGTGCTGAGTCGAATGGTCTTGGTCCGAGAAAGCTGAGACGCTCCCTTCCTACTTGAATCCCAATCGAACTCGCGCACTTCCACCGAAACTGGGTGACTGCGCCCTACTAGATGGGGATTTGTATGCAAAATGTCACTAAAAGCGCCGTTTCGGTCTTATAAAAGCACGGATGACCGCGATTGGCCCATATGTTGTAGTCTTTTGGATGCTGAGTCGACTGGTTTTGGTCCGAAAAGGCTGCGATGCAGCGTTCCTCCTTTATTCCCAATCGAACATGGTTGAACAAGTGGTCACATGCTCCTGCGTACACCAGTCACCTGGTCACCGTGCCTGCAGGGTACAACTTACTAGCCTGTTTGACCTTTTTTGGGTGCAGTCATGTCACTCGAGTTGAACCTTGGTGTGAAAGTTGTCGCTTGCTGGCGTGGTGACCAGGTGATTTGGGCACCCAGGAGCACGTGACCACTTGTTCAAGCATGTTCGATTGGGAATAAAGGAGGAACGCTGCATCGCAGCCTTTTCGGACCAAAACCAGTCGACTCAGCGTCCAAAAGACTACAACATATGGGCCAATCGCGGTCATCTGTGCTTTTATAAGAACGAAACGGCGCTTTTAGTGACATTTTGCATACAAATCCCCATCTAGTAGGGCGCAGTCACCCAGTTTCGGTGGAAGTGCTCGAGTTCGATTGGGATTCAAGTAGGAAGGGAGCGTCTCAGCTTTCTCGGATCAAGACCATTCGACTCAGCACCCTGAAGACTACAACTGGTGAAATTTTAATTTTTGCCTTAACTTCCCCTTTAAGGCAGGGCATCGTCTTTTTTCCTGGTCATCACCGCCGTATGTTCTGTGTTGTTTGCCTTTTCTTTGTGGTTGGCTTCAGTTCTATTTAGCATTGCTGCGTTCCTATGCCACCGTGCCGGTCTCCGTTGGGCCAGTGTCTTGTCATGCTGTGCTACAGTGCCGTGTCTATCCCTGTGAGTGGTCCTAGCACCCCGTCTCGCCAAAGCGTGAGTGTTCACATCAAGTACGTTTGGGGGCTGTGCAGTCCGTCTCTTGTCTCTGTTTTCTTCTGTGGGATAAAGGATTGTTTGTGGTTATATCTATGCTTTCCTGGTGGCTGTGATGGCGTTTTCCACCTCTTGTTAGATAAAACAACCTACACCAGTATCAAGTACAGTCATACCTTGCTTATCCGGTCCTCATTGATCCGGACTACACACCATCCGGAAGAAGATTGCTGGCAACCAGTTTACAACATATGCTACACTTACAACATAACCAGACCCCACATAACGGGCATGGTTTTGTGATTAAAAGGGTTCACATAGCATATCAGAAGCCAGAACCAGGGAGTTGCACAAACAAAAGGGGTTTGTTGTATGGTTCGCTTGTTTTACAGAATGTGCATGGTAACTGTACTGCATGTGGCGCATCTACATGTACATGTACGCACCATGTCACATCTTTTGATATGCCATGTGCATAATACACTCTAGAGTATGTAATGTTATGTTCGTTTATCCGGTTCCTCGCCTATCCTGTTTTAAAACTAAAAGCAAGCTTGGATTGTATTACGTTCCCTGGGACAGGGGTATAATATGCAGATTGATCCCCAGGATGAATACCTTGAACTGTCCATCTATTTATTACCTTGATAGTTGATACCCTCAATCTATTTCTGCAACTTGTCCTCGCCCACTTACTGCAGTGTGGCGAGCCTGTACATGCCAGCTTGGAGTATCAATGCGTGTTGAGTGATGGTCTCGTGATGCATGCCGCTAATTATTATGCGCCGAGTGTGGTCTGCAATTTGCTTTTGGCACTGCTGCTACTGTTGCCTTCACATGTGCTGCGGTAGATGGTTGGATGCAGTTTGGTTGGTCCTTTCCTGCGGAGCTGATTCCTATTCAGCAATTGCTCTAGCTTGCGCTGTTTGGGCTCATACTTGGTCTGGCAAGCGGCTTATGTTCTATTGTGATAAT